GTAGGTATAACTTACCACTGGCGCCCTTGAAAACCAGTGTGCACGGGACTCGTGCTCTAGGGTCATGGTTCTGGAACCAGGCAATCTTCATCTCATTGTGGTACCGTTTCAGCACAGAGATGATGTCGTCGGGGACGATCGAGTGGCGCAGCTCTTCTCGGAATGCTAGAGCGGCCTTGCCGCCCACCAGGTCGGCGTTGAAGTACTCGGGCTCCAGCACACGTTGTGACAAAGGTCCGTCGGGCGCCCGAGAGCGCCTCTGGTCGAAACTACGGTTGGCAGCCGTCAGAAGACGCTCAATTCCGCGTGCGTTGTCGAAGTCTTTGCGCATCCGGGCGCTCTCGAGAATATCCATCGCCGCTTGGAAGGCTTCGGGAGTGGCATCCACATCTTGCTCTTGCAGTTTCGCCTGGAAGAGCTCCTCCATCTGCTCTCGGGTGAGCGGCTGGAATCGAACCACTTGGTGTTCGAGCATCCTTGACGCCTCCTTGAGTTCTGGGAGCAGTGTGTCAACGGCATGGTCGGAGCCGACGAGGATGGTGCAACGATTCTCTCCGTTCGCAGACAGCTCTTTGATGAGCATGTCCAGCACACTATCGGAGACTTGGAAATCATTGTCGTCGGTCTCGGGGGTGTCCATGTCGATAATCAGAGCTTTTCCGACCGTCGAGGAGAGAATGCCATCAGTATCAGAGAGGTTATTGAACGCCGAGAGTGGCTTGATAGTCACTGCCGCACAGTTAGCTACTGGTAATGTCTAAAAGGGGATTCAAGTTTACTTACCTTCCCCATTGCTGAGGAGACCGAGATCCGCCAGAATCTGCGCGTACAGCTTCGCGGCAGTGGTCTTGCCCGTACCCGGTGGACCGGCGAAGACACGGTTCACTCGCACCAACAACCGCTTCTGGTTCTTAACCTCCCGCCAGTAGTTCTCCTCCACCGTGCCGAAGACCTCGCGGACGGAGGCCTTAACGGGCTCTTGTCCCACGAAAGACTGGAGAGACGTCCATGCGGCGCTCTGGGACCGAATGTCGGATGGGTTGGGCCCCAGAATATCGTCCTTGGAGAAGAAGAAGTAATCTACATCCTCCATTCCGATGTCCTGCTGCTCCATCAGGCACTCAGCCTGGCGGTGTGCGATGGTCTCCACAAGTTGCCGCACGGCATAAATATTGGTAAACCCTTCACCGCGACTGCGGGCAAGTCGGCGAGCCGCAGCCTGCATGTACTGGCCGTCGAGTCCCCCTTCGACCTGCATTTTTCCGCCGTATTCCTCGGTGATGCGGCGACCCAAGAGTCGGAGAAGCTCTTGGCGGTCGAAGTCCGCAAAACTCACGGTGCTACACGTCCGGCGCTGCACTCGGGGGTTCTCGTGAAGAAAGCTCTCCATATCGGGGCCTTGACCGATGAAGACGACAATGATCCGCCCGGTCTTCCGCTCCATCGCCTGAAGGAGGCAGTCAATGATCTCTTTATGCGATTCGAGCTTGGAGGGCATCAAGGTGTGAGGGTTGTCGACGATCAAGACACCGGCTGTCGGTGCGGAAGGAGACTCGGAGTTGACCATCTCTTTAATTAATTTCTGGGCGCCCTGAGGGCCCTTGATGGCAAGGTCTCGGCCAGATATTTCTTTGGTGGTATTGGAGTCGGAGATACCGATGGCGTAGAGCATCTTGGCGTAGATTCGGGCAATGGTCGACTTGCCTACGAAATAACCTCAATTAGTATTGGAACTCTCCGATCCTGACGAATGGAGACAAACTCACCTGTTCCTGGGTTCCCTTGGAACACAATATTGTACCATTCATTGCGGGGTTCTCGACCATGTCGACGGCAGATCTGCACCCAGTTCTGCACTCCAAGGAGCTGGCGCTTGACGTTCTCCAGCCCCACCAGATTCTCGATCTCGTCGACCAACTCTTTTTGGGCGGTCTCACGACTCACCCGATCTTGTTCGGCGGACCTTTTCTTCTGTAATGTGGATGCGATGTCAATCTTGGGAGCCGGCGCCGGCGCCGGGGGTTGTGTCTGAGTTTGTGTCGATGTGGAAACGGAGAGGGACTGTTGCGACCGTCGAGGGCCCCATAAGCTCGATAAGAGCGAGGGGAAACGGGAGGTATTTTGCCTGCACTCCATCTTGCGGCACGGACACAGCTGTGAAAGGAAGCCTCGTAACGTTGACAGCATAAAGTAGTATAAGGGAGGTACGGTGAAGGTAAAGATCTTGCGAACTGTCGCTCTCAACATCCAAGGTTCTTTATAGATAGGATAGGATAGAATACTAATAGTAAAGTTGAAGTTCTGATTCCCCCTCGCAGCCCATGGCTGCTGGCCCCCTTTTTATCAGACACATCTCTTGTGCCCATCGTCTTTGGGAAAGAAAAAATCTCCGGTTGATCCACGATGAGTCGCCATGCGTGAGAATAGCAGACGCGGTAAGGCATGAGAGGCAGGCGAACACAATAGGCCTATGATGAGATGACAGATCAGAGATGAAGCGAATTCACCGCTCTTTGACACACCACGCCTCACCCTAATGAGGAACTAAAGATCTCTGGAATAAAATATAGTGGAGATCGTTCCCGAGTGGGTCTCCATTTCACATGAAATGAACCCAGTCCAGTTATCGTTCGCGTACCGCGTCAAAGCGTCTGAGTTGTCCGGGGTTCAGATCATGTCAGGTCCTTAGGGCAGGCATCATTGAAGAAACTAATCCCTGGGACCTGAAACAATGCTGAAACGATCCCCTGAAAGTTGTATTCTAATTCCCCTGAGGTTTTGAACTGCTCAAATCAGGCGACCTATGACAGCATGAGCAAGGAACCAAATCATGGATAAGGTGCATAAACCTACCTTTACTTTCACGTTCTTAGGCATCGTCAATCATCAGGCATGCTTTAGTTCCAACCCAGATCGAATGGAACAAGACGGTGACTGCTGCTCGCCCAGAATAGTATAGTCCGCTGTCAGGTGCTTTGTGGCCAATGAACGTGCACCACATCGTCCAGCTTAATAATCCCTCTGCCCGTGACCACTCACGGAATTTCTAGAATTTTAGGAATATTTTTTCACCTGAAGGGCATTGGACGTCATCTTCTGACTAAACCTTTTGAACAACAAACAACCGACAACCATACCGAAAGGAAGTGGCTGGTTAGGTAGACAAAAAAAAAATCGATACCTCTCCACCAATAAGAAATGCCAGATTCAACAGCAGTGACTCATTTGCTGAGGGACTTTTGGGTTGCTGTGGCAGAGACTACGACCACGCAGACAGGCGCTATACTATACAGACTCTACTAGTACGGAGTACTCCCGGAATATACCATGCAACCCACCAGAGCATGGTCCACTACAACCCCTCCTTCTCAGGGGTACCAGTGCAGTTTCTCCGTAGCTGGTCTGTGTTGGTGCCATCTGCAAAAAATATTTTCCTGATTATGATGAACAGGCCCCGATTCAGGAAACAATGCGTGTGACTCACAGAAACCCACCATTCACCTGCAGCGTTGACCGGCATTTAGGCTCCACCATTATACGGAGTAACTTCTTTTTTTTTCGTTTCTCCCTCGAGAGGGAATTTCGAATCGGCCGGGGATGACTTTCCCGACATCCGAAAGTTCTATGACGATGATGCCATCAGTATGGTTCTCGGGCATGTTGGTCACCGCATCACTCTAGATGGGTAACCACGTTGCCTCATCCCCCCTCTTTCGTCGCGCCTGACAATTGAACGAGGGGTATCCAACATCTAAGGCGATAAATCGCCCCTCGGGCCGCTGGGAAATTTTCGGGCCGTTTGTTGGGTGACTCTGCCCATCGTTCACCAAAGTACATACCCAGTCGGTGTACGCTTTACGACACCAACGGATATTAGCCAACGACAAGGAGAATGCAATATCTCAGGCGACTACATCATAGTTAAAATCGTCATAGATAGTCCTTTTGCTACGGTTACTGTTTACCGAAAACCTCCTGATTCCCCCGAGTTAACACCGCATCATCTTTTGCCCTTCGAAGCCATTTGGGCACCTTCGCGATAGCCGCGGTACGTCCCAAGGGCTTGATAGATAACCGCTTCCCAACTATTACTGGCGTCAGCGTCTCTGGCGACCGCTCAACTTTTTCAAATCGATCTAAACTGCGGAAGTGTGCCAGCATGAACTGGTTTCGCGATAGTGATACGAGGCGACCTGTGACCGACCTGGTCTTCTCATCTCTAATGTTCCAATGCTGTCGATCAATGTCGAAAACCAAATCGAACAGTATTTTTCTCCCCATAGTCCCCATGGAGTAATCACCCATAGATGTGTATGCTGCATCGGTCGTACCTCATAGATCTTGTTGTCAACTTTCAGGTTCTCACGGCATATCCTAAAATAACATCGTTTTGTCCGCAATGATTGGCTACACAATTTCGACCACTTGCACCAATCATTGCGTGTCGATCACGAGGCGACGGAGGCGCACAGCCTCACCTGCACGCAGCAACCAAATCGGATACGCTTATTCTCTTCCACTTCACATTCCCAATCGATTGACTCAACGACGGAGGCTATGCTATGTCCGGACTAGAAATCCTCGGTGTTGCTGCCAGCATTCTCCAGGTCGTAGAACTTGGCACCCATCTCTCAATTAAGCTCTATACATTCTGCCGCAGGCTCAAAGAGACAGACCAACGCATCCAGAGCCTATCCAGTGATGTTGCCTTGACGTGTAATGTTCTACGACAATTAGGCGACAGCCTCCAACAGGATGAGGATGCTAAACTCTATTCCATGGAGGCATTTGCGACAGCCCAACAAGTGCTGGGGGAGTGCAGAATGGTGTTCCAACGAATCAGCGATGCGGTGGATTATCCCGACCAGAAAGCCACGAAAGGCCTTCTCCAGAAGGCGGCAAGAAAGGTCGGGTTCTTGTGTATCGAGGAAGACCTAGAGATTCTCAGAGTCAACTTGGAGCGCCTGAAGTCAACCATGCTTCTGATGCTTAATGTAATCATGTATGCTGGACAGCTGCGTAGGTAAGGATTTCCTAGTCGAAATCCGACGAGCTTCGCATAATAATAAATCCATTGAGCTAGTCGAGCAGAATCGAGCGTCCTGGAGGAGCAGCGAGAACTGATTCGCACGCTTATCGAAGAGAAGAAAACGAACGAAACTCAATTTAAACGTTTGACGAATGCCTTGGAGGCTGCCAGAGTTACGGACAACCGGCCGAATGAATCTCAGCCAGTGACCTGTCTTACCACGACATTTGCGTCCAATGATGTTCCAGTTGTGAACGACTTACTTTCGTCGGAGCTGCGAGAATACTATGCCCTGGTGAAGAAAGTCCTTTCCGAGATTAACGCATATCAGTCTAGACTGGAATATGATCAATATCGCCGAATGAGAGATGACATTTTACAAAGTTATTACTCGGAAATTGGCTACTGCGAAGCTCGTCACGGTCAGCGAGCTGCACAGTGGTTCCGGGAGCAATATTCTACACTTTGCAAGGAGTTTGTGGCATGTACCTCTTCCAAATTCGATCAGGGGGCAAAAATAAGCCGGCGTACAAATATGGATTCTGTTGCTCCAGCTTTGGAAAGTGGAAATCGATGGGCCTCTTCTGGTGGGGTCACTCACGACGGTAGGAGGAGCTCACGGTTCGAATCATTCACGCTTGGAACAAAACGGAACAAGCACACGGCTCAGCCTATGCCAGTCCAACGGCCACCCAACATATTGAGTCATATACAACAACCGGTCACATCTCATGATATGATTGCAAGAATACCCCCATTAACACTCTGCGGCCCTCGACCCCCTTTCTCAGAGACATCCAACCCAATCACCCAGCCCCAGTATGGGATAGGGAATCCGGCGGTTGAAGCCTACGCGACAGGTAGCTCTTATGGGAGAGCCTATGTAAAGACGGAAGACACACATGACACGAAATCCTTTTTAATGAAGTGGACAACTTTAGACGATAGTGAACTTGGTTCCTGTTGAAAAATCTCATGCATTGGTTTGTTACGCCGATGAACGAGCATCGTGAACTATTTAGTCTCACTTTCGCGCTGCAGTCATGTGTACCATATTCCACCGCCTGCCCAATTCAAGTTAGTATTTGCCGGTCAAAACTAACACCTCTGATAGGCGGTGGTGTCACCTCGGGCATCGCCGGGAATCCAAATGAGTGTCTACTGTAGGACGTTTCTCCAAGTTTCATTACGGTGGAAGGAACGTAGGATGGTTAAGTTAGTAATAGCTTTGAGTGCGCTTAGAATTCCTCGTAATTTTTCTTAGAAGTACTCAATTTCTGTGAAATAACAAAAATCCTTACTAGTGAACACTATCTACATAGTATGCACCAATACTTCCCCAGAAATATATATCTGCCACAGAGTCGACACTGGCCGGAGGAAACAAATAACTGCATCTATCAATATACTACATCAATCCAACTATGATACTGTCTACAAGTGAAAAGTCTCAGCAAATTAAAGGGCTACACTTAATAAAGAAAATATCAAAAATCACATCGTCATGACTCATTATAGAAGGAGGCAAAAAAGATGGAGACGCGGGGAATCGAACCCCGGACCACTCCCATGCTAAGGGAGTATTATACCACTAAACCACATCCCCAATTGGATACACGTGATAAATGTTAAAAAATATATGATGCAAGACTAAGGTATTTCGCAGATATTTCTGTTCCGTTATTCAAGAGTAGTGCCGAGCACGTACCGAACTTCTATCATCCACTGACGCTTTTCCCAAATCGGTGTCGTTATTGCATGAGTGCATTGCACTTAGAACTTTGAATCGTTTCTTGAAACAGTATTTATCAACAATATATACAATATTACCCGCCTCATTGACGCAACCACCGTCCAACCCGCGATAGATTTAATTGAACAAGAACCGAACCGCTTTGGAGACATGCCCCATCGCGCCCGTTTTGTCCTCCACGGACTCTTCATCACCAGTCTTGACGTAGAATCGCCGGAGACCGTCGAGATCGATCGTCCGGGCATCCACCCAGAAAGGACCACGATAGTACATCTTGGCCCCGATATAGATGACGATGATAGCAACAACACTGACATAGTTGGCAAAGAAGTTCTTCGCCGTGGTCTGTCCTTGCAGCGGCCACAGGCTCAGGTAGAACTCTGCGATGATGAGCAAGATACACCATACCAGTCCCCAGATGGCTGCATAGGGGAACGTCCAGCTTTTCCACGGCAGGTCGGATACATCGCGACCCTGGATTTTCCAAGCGTAACGCATCCGCAGGTGCGATAGACATATCATCGCCCAGCCGAACAGAGTGAACAGAGATGTGAGATTGGAGAACCAGGTGAAGACCTCCTCACCGCTGTTGCTCACATTGAGGTAGGCCAGGCCACCTCCGATGAGAAGAGTAATGAAGAGTCCGGCTAAGGGACGCCCAACCCTATCAGCTTTGCCGAAGATCTACATAGTGCGGAGTGCATCCTGTATCAGCCATCTTCACCCGACTAGCGTTTCTAGGGTATACTTCACTTACCTTGGGCGCCATCTTTACATGTGCCAGCCCCATGAGAGCACGAGACCCGGCATATCCAGAGATGCTCCCCGTGGACACGACCGAGATGAAGACCACGGCGTTCATTATATGGGCCAAAGGCTCGAGACCCGCGTTACGATAGGCAATGACAAATGGTGAGGCGTTGACTCCCGAAGCGCCGAAGAGATTGTTGTCCTTTGGGTCAACCGTGATGGTAATCATGAGGGAGCCTAGAATATAGAATAGAGAAAGACGCAGCCAGATCGATCCCACCGCCTTGGGGACAGCTCGTTTAGGGTTGGAGGTTTCGGCTGCAACTAGAGCGCAGTTCTCGGATCCAGACATGGCAAAGATACAAGTGGGCATGACAGTGAGAAAGCCTTTGAATCCGTTCGTGAAGGCGTATGAGTTCCAATACCGAAAGCCAATAGGGCCCTCAGCAGGGGCGCCTCCTGCAGATACGACTGTGATATGTTAGTTAAGTGGGAAAGGAAGATATTCGTGCCGTTTCTCTCACCAATCAGGGAGATGATGACAATGATAATCCACCCGAATTTGATGGAAGACGAAACAACTTCCACTTCGCCAAAGAACTTGACAGCCCACACGTTGATAAGAATGATCACGACCCAGAAGATGGTAATCCAGGCTGCTGTGGGTACCTTGTCGGTCCAGAAACTGAGAACGGTCACGACACCCTATGGTGGTTAGGTTCTGGGCATTAGAGAGTCACCCATGGTTAACCTACTTGTAACTCGTTGGCGATGGTGATCCAGTAGGAGAACCAGTATGCCCATCCCAAGGCAAATGCCGCAGCCGGGTCAACAAAGATCGACGTCCACTGAATAAATGCCGAAGGCAGAGGATACATTACGGCCATTTCGCCGATGGAATGGCTGACCGACCAGATCATGGTACCGCTCAAGAGGTAGCCGATGAAAATGGCCGCTGGACCGCCATTTGCTAGGGATGTCCCACTGCCCAGCCATAATCCCATGCCAATCGATGACCCCAGGGCAATCATGGTGATATGGCGGGTGGATAGCGTCCGCTGGAGATCTGTTTCGGCCCCATGATCGATGTCGAGCTCCCAATCGGCAGCGGGCTGGGCGGTCTTTTCCATACTCCCTGACGAACTGCGCGGGGGGATGATGGAGTCGGTCATATTGAAGGGAGAGAAAGAAAGTTAAACTGGGTCGCAAAGTATCGAGCCAGAAAGACAATGAGTCCGGGGTTAAGGGAGTATTAATATAACAACAACCAGCGGCGAATGCTACTATACCCTTTTGTGAACCAAAAATGGCGGTTTAGCTAGGGTAGATAAGACCTCAGCTTTATCTTTGCCTGGACTACTCGCAGATAACCTTTCCCGACCCAAGTACTACTGCGACCGTAATGCAACCTGCATATGGGCGATATACTAGGTTGGGAGGTTTCTGAAATGCGTATCATCGCGTGGTCAGACCGTTAGGCTGACGGTTGATAAGTACCCTTCCGCCAATTGCACATCTGCGAGAAGCCTTATCAGTAGCCCTTAATGCATCGACTGATATCGAATGTACCACCGAGCCATCATTCGTGATGTAGGGTGTAACCTGCGAAGTAATTCCAAGCAGCGACGATTATTGAACGACCGATGGGATGTGGCTTGGGTGGCGGTCAGAGCTTCGATCAAGGTTACATGCCCAGCGAATTCTTTGCGTATTTTCCTGGGTTCATCGCGAGTGATTTGAGGAATAAGCCGCAAAGGGAGCAATGGCGTTCGGTGCAGCCATGGATTATAAGACTCCGTCTGTATCCCTTGCATCAACTCGACCCACGAGAAGGGCACATCACCATGTGCACACGTTAGAGTTCATAGCATCGCGGGGAATCCTGGACTTGAGATCTGCAAACGGAACCTGAAAGCATACTCAGTGCAAGTAGGTCAAGCCTGGATGTAGGATTAAGGAACCATGGAAACCAACACATTGGTGGAAGACATCGGAACGGATCGAGAGCCAATGGTGACATCACGATATCACTGGAGTAGTAGGTTTAATCTACCCCAGATAAGACCACCAAGACAAGTCTGCAACATTCAACCCGAGCATTGTGGAAGTGGGTCAAGCTCATTGAGAGCGCTTATCACATCGTCTTGATAGCCCTTTGTTATCATTGCCATTCAATGGTGTTGGCCTCCTTAGCGCCATTTCGGGTATCAGCGGATGGGAAGGACGCGTTATCGCTTTCTCCTAATTCGGCGCTGATTGACATGCTGTGAGGGAAGATCTGGGTTTTCTTGCGTCTGAGTGGTTGCATAGGCTCATCCTGACTTGCAGGAGGTTGCATGTTCGATTGGACCGCGTTTCAGACGTCTACTTATTTCCACAAAACATGCGCTATGTGTACACCAAAGAGAGAAAACATCCCCTCAACACTATTCCAGAATTACCCTTTTTTCTTCTGGAAAATCAATATGAAAAAAAAGGGGGAAATTTGTGGACCTGTGGACCTGTGGACCGACTACAGGCGAGTGCTTTATCAAACGGCTCCAAAGAGCTCTATGATTAACGCTCCTGAACTGACCTTTTCAATAGCGCTGACGGCTGTGGCCGCTCTGTGGGAGCCAGGAGGAAGTCCGCACCAAGCAACTGATGCCGTGGAAATTCATGGTGGACTCGCCATTATCTCGTTGCCCTGGTTATTGCAAGAACACTTCTACTAAACTGTTGATTGTGATCTCCACTAGTATTTCGCTGTTACAACCCACCATAGTTCATGATAGACAGGCCTACCTAGCACTCAACTAGTTGGACGGGTCAAATTTTGATCCTGCTGCTATCGATTATCGGCCCTCGACCCTTTCTGAGTCCTTACGCGACAGTAGCATGCCACAAGGATTATGATCATGCAATAAGAGAGCGGCACATCTACCGGGCTCCTAACTTGCCCGGGTACCCAGATGATGCAAAGCTCGAAGGTGTCGTCGACGCTTTCCATGCCGACTTGTCCGGCCAAGTGCTGATGAACTCAACGAAACTTCCGAAAGTGCCCCTTCATGTGTCAGGCATGTTCAACTGAACAGTTTATGGCACGCCATTTTGGTGCTCCTAACAGCCATCATGACTACCAGGTCGATTGATGCCAAACGTACCTCTCCAAAGAATCCTTGCGTCAGCGCAGTGATCATCTTCTGGCAGGTTTAACAGAGCTATTGGAAGAAAGTGTATTTCCGACTGGACCGAAGTGGTGTCATCGCTGGGCGGTTGTTTAGTTTGGGATGTGAGGAGTTTGAGATTGGGATTGGGTGGGCTGAAAAGCCGTCGATATTCCGTTCGAAAGCGGAGGAACACACAACATCCACACATATTAGTACCTGATTAAAGAGCCATATATAAGTATTTCCATGCGATGCGCACATTGAAAGACATTTGAAGTGATCTAATGATATGGTTTGTGCAGAAAGACTAGTCGGGATGGATTCAGGTCCTCGTTGGAGTGACTTGACTGGGCACCGAAACGCAGAAACAACTCTCCACAATGGATCACCGGTTATGTGTGAATGGAAACGATTGAAGGCTAAGTCACAGGTGACGTAGACAGGGGCTGTCACTCAGTAGGCGGATAGGTTGCTTGACGCAGGAGTAAGTTCCACAAAATATGCCATGAAAAATTAACAGAGCCATATTGTGCGGCTTGAACAGCCGCATCAGATGTGAACCGGCGGCAGTAGAGTAAGACCAATATGTTCAACAGTTCCGCCAGAAACCCTCTGACAGAGCTACCGAAGCTTTCGCTAGCTT